TATTTATTTTTGTGTTCCTAAACAGCATTACACCTATACTGCATGCATCAAAAAGTGTCTGTCTTAATGAGGTGCCATAGCTCGCCTGGTGGCGCTGGCTCCCCATGTGCAGATCGGGGTCCTTGCTGCAGCAGCTGTGGGTTTGAGTCCGACTTGTGGCCTTTTGCTCCATCTCGTCCGCTGTCACCCTCCCCCCTTTCCTGACTATCTCAAGCTGTCCTGTCAAATAAAGGCAAAATCTCCCCTAAACCAATTATAAAAGGGGAGTGTCCATACAACTATTTATTTTTTAATAAATATAAGCATTCTTTAGCTAATACAAATTTATGCATTATTAAATTATTAATTAAATAATAAAAATGTATTTTAAGATTCTTTGTCCTGAATGAAACAATGTTTTTTTTATAAAGTTACTTCCCAGCAAGTTCCTGGTGTAAAACCCTTAAAAACTCTTCTTTCATTTGTTTCACTCAAGCCACATAATGTAGAGTTGTTATTTGTCTTTTATACATATGAATAAGAGGTCTTTTCTATATTAAATATGAAGAAAAGCTTACCATGGGTGAAGATTTTAACCCACTCCCAACACATGCAAAATGCCTTGGGTATTCATCAATGAGATTTTAAAAGAGAGAAGCAGATGCACATAAAGTCTAGGACATCCATAAACACAGAGCAAACTCCATTGTCTTATAATTTATCACACCTCAGGAGAAAGATATTCAGTCTCCTCTCAGGCCGTCTCCCCTGCCCTGTTATACGGTCCGCCTGTCAATCTCTGGGCTCCGACCAACTTCAAGTGTGACCCTCACTCACATAAATAATTTATTCTTTTCCAGAATTCACAATAGAAATAAAGTCCACCATTTGTCTCAGTGAATTTGATTAATAAAGCTAGATCTCAAATCTCCACCTGAATACCAATGCAATGATAAACCCTCAAAGATTAATATGATGTACAGAACAGTACGAAAAAATGAAACCACAGCCTTTGGAGCTTCATTCAAAAACTGGGGGGGAAAGTAAAACAAAGCAGCAAAAATTGGTCATAAAAGCATGGTAAGCGCATGATTTAGTGGGCCGATAAAGAGTAGAAAGGTGGCCATTCATCATGGAAGCTAGCTCACCAGGAGAGGGCCTGTCAGAGACACCACCAGGTCTGGGAGGCATTTCGAGAGAGAGAGAGAGAGAGAAAGAGAGAGAGCTTCCAGTTGCCCCTAAACCCTGTTCCACTGTCTTTCCAAGATAGACACAGATCATAGATGGGTGATGAGTGCTTTGTCTTTGCTGCTCTGCAACTCTCTTGTCACAGCAGTGATGAAGGATAGAGGTTGTTAACTGCAAAGTAGAGGACCAGAGTTAAGAAGACTTAGAGCTGCAGAACCAGATGATGGGAACAGAAGAAACTTCAGATTACACTTTAACAACGCAGGGGGATACAATAGAAACACTGACCATCACAATCAACCAGAGCATTGAAGAACAAAACATCATTTGTTGAAAATACCAGTATCTCCTGTCATGTCCTATTTGTCAAACTGAACTTTTGCTGTAACTCAGAGTGTTACTGGGTATTTGTGCTGAGGTAGCCTAACTAATAATGACCACAGAAGTAAAACTGTGCGTCACTATACATCAATATATGATATGACATGTTTATCTCTCATGAATATCATATATCCCTGTTTTCACTCAGGGGCACATCATGTTAGAAAATTTCATTAACAGCATTTCTTGTTTGTTGGCTTCTTTCAGTTCACGTTTTCTGGTCCCAGTTGAATATAATTATATATTTTACTTCTTCTATTAGGATGAAAATGCAATTTACAGTTCTCCAGATTCATTTGTTCAGTCAAACATTATTGAATTTAAATATTTTATCATATTATTTAGGCTACATACATTAACAACGTCCAAATTCTTCTTCGCTGATTTTCAACAAGCGAAGAAAAACGTCACTTCCGGCTGTCATCTTTGGCTTAATTGAAACATTTTGCAACAGTTACGAAGGAGTTAATTAAAACTCTGTCTTCTTTATGAGCAGCAGACGGAGAAGTTTCAGCTTGAAAGTAAAACATTTAGAGAAATATGGAGTCAAAACAACGGTAAGTGTTATTTTATAACGTTATATATATATATATATATATATACATATACTCGTATATGGATGCTTAAGGTGAGCTAGCTTGTCCCATACCTCAACTATAAAGCTGTTTCAATGCAAATTATCTGCAGTTAAAAAAACGTTTAACCTTATTAGCCTTACCTTACATTAGACTGAAGGCTAGAAATCGGGGCTACAACCTACCAAATAAATAGTTTGTAGCTGGTAAACAAACAACAAGCAGAATGGGACACCTGGCCAACACTGAAAGGCACAAAGTACCAGGTAAACCCCTTTAGGTCACACAGATATTTAGCTCACAGTTAGCAGTAAGTTAAAGACCACCGCAGTATTCGTCGGAAGAGTTAGAGAACAGGTGTAAAGCTAACCGGTTAACACAAACTAGATGACACTGTTGTTTGTTTCTGTAGCTAACTTATTGTTAGCAACAGGACCTTGGTTAACACATAATATACCAAGGGCTGTATTACTATGTTTTGTTTGTTTGTTGACTGCTGACTGAAAAAATAAATAGCAATGGCTTAAAAGTTAAAGGGAAATTCAGTTATCTTCAGTCAAAGTTTGGGAATGGTTCATGTTTTCTGTCATTTTTTAAGAAACGTTTTTTCTCTAAACTGTTTATGCATTGTATTCATCTCGTTTCATGTAAAGCATATCCTAACATTTCATTTAATCTATTTATAAGGACATAAACACACATTAATCAACATTCTGTAAGTGTGCTAGTGTTAGCAGACTAAAGTTTAACTGCAGTCCTTTGGCAAGATGTTTTGAAACATAATCTTACCACATAAATGGAGTCACTGGGATGCTGCTGAAGCTTTTATTTTGTTTATAGACATATCAAAAGTTTAAATTCACTCATGTTTCATGTTTCTATTTGAACAGGGACAGTGTACAAAGAAGAGATGTGATGTACTGGTGTACGGGTTCACACTGCTATTTTCGGCCCACTCTACAGGTAGGTAGAATAAGAACTCCAGTTTTAAAGGTGATCTAGCCTAGATGTGTAGATATTGTTTGACCTGTTGACTGTTGACTGTTGACTGTGGCCTATATTGGTATATTACCATACA